TACATTGCACCTGGAGATCGCACAGAAGAAGGTACGACAAGGCTGCACAAGGACATGTGCGCCGCTGTCAACATCATGGCATACTGTGCTCCCGATCCACTTTCAAAAAAGATGGGTGCAATCTGGCATATATTCATGGCATTGGATTCGGAGACTGTCTCCATGTTTCTTCGTGAGAAGCACGGCTTGACTGAAAGAGATCCAGATCCGCTCCTTGGGCAGAGATCTTACCTCAACGAACAGAGTCTCAACGACCTCTGGACCAGACACAAAGTCCGGCCATTCAGAATTGTTCAAAAGGAGGGTGAAGCCGTGTTCATCCCCCCCAGAGCTGCACATCAGGTGGGCACATTGTCAGGCTCAGATGATCCCGGAAAAGTGACTTCTTTCAGGTAGCGAACTGTGGACCCTGCGTGAAGATTGCGACAGATTTCTTCGGCGTGGAGGGGCTTGACGAGACATTCAAGTTTAATGCGGAATTGAGGCTAGAAGGTAGCTCAAGCACGCTTCCCCCGAAGACAATGCTTTGGCACATGTGGCGCTCCTTGACAAGCCTGGTACCCGCAGATGGTGCTGACCCACTAGCAAGAACGAAGCGCAAGCGCGGAAAGTCAAAAGCGGATAGGCTACAGGCTAACAAGAAAGCCAAGATGCCCGAGCGACCTGTTCCGCCGAACGGTAGCTACTATTGCCCTCACGTGGTTTGTGAAGAGAAATGCAGCACGTTCTTGCTATAGTCTTTAAAAGATCACTTGTAAGTCTGTTACTTTCTGTCAGAGCTACGAATGCTAGCGATGTTGACAGGCGGCGCGGGCATTCCGTAATCATAACGGAGAGCGAACTTAGTGATGTCCTTCAAGGTACAGCTGACAACCAGGCTACAAAGCTTAAGGTATTTATGGAGAAGTGAGGACATTAGAGGTTTGACAATATACATATTGAATCAATCAATAACCGCTAGCAGTAAAAATATCTTAAGTGGGTCGAACGGCTTGGCAGCTACGGTGGCCGCCGCTGGCGGGTGCGTTGTGTTGTAAGACTCGCCAATGGCAATTTGGCCGGGTGATAGGAATAGTCTGGGCTCGAGTTCTCGTACGGCTGGGCGCTGTCAATGACGGACGACGATCCCGCCCTGTGACCGGACGCTGCAGGCTGTCTGGCGGCGCGGAAAGACATGTGCTCCAAGATAAGCTTGAGACGGCGCTGCGTCAGAGCACGCTTGCGGTACAACAACAGGCCCACTACGGAGTCCCGAGTGCAAGATTTCTTTTCATACATGCGCGCATTGCGTCAGTGCGCCATCGATAAAGTGTTATGCATGGGCCAACTAGCCGGATTTCAGCAAGTCGCAGAAGAGCTGCTCCGACAGGCGGATCATGCCAGGAAGATTTGGGCTGAGAATGTAACGCGAGGCCGAGATGAGTGAACTGCAAGCTACTACGCCACAAGCCGGAAGTTGTCAGGGACAAGGCCGATCGCTCCAAGCACCGCACATAGCTCACTGAAAGAGACGTCGGCTCCGTGCTGACAAGTCCAAGAACGGCTCGGGCTCGCCTCGTCGAAGAGACGCAGGGCATGGACGGTGCCGCCGCCGACGACACTGCCAGTACCGCCAGTGTTGCGGGCGACAATATCCCGCTGCTCCCGCACAAGTCGCAGAGGTTCGAGCCGATACCGCTGCCTGAGCCGGATGGCAGAGGGAGCACCCCGTCGAGCGCCTTGGTCTCCATCTCGGCGAGGACTCTGCGACTCACGCCTGCGTTCTCAATATACCATGCCGCATTTTGTTGAAATACACCTCTGCTACCACTTCCATCTTACCACTACCACCTTCTACTAGCCTTCGTCTTTACATGCCTTCAGGAGTTTGTAGATTGCCATGAGTGTGCTGCCACAGGCGGCCACAAAGTAAGAGGATCTATCACTTGTCGTTGATGTCCATTCATCTTACTTCAACCTCAGGCGTTCGAGACTTTTCAGAAATAGATACAATTCATTTAGGTTCAACAGTACGAGGTAGAGGCCGCCCATGCCGCCCTCGGCAAAAACAATGCGCGGAGAGCGGTGCACGAGTGAGGCGGGCTCTTGAGTTGTATGCGGGCACCGCTCGAAGTTGTCGGGGCAGAGGGAAGAGCAGAGAGATGGAACTGTGGGCATAATCAAGGCGTCGAGGGGTCAAGGTGTGTGTACTGCCGAGTATCCTTCCCGGTGACACGCGCCTGATCATGGATGAAATTCTTCGTGTCGCCCGCCAACTCTTCCTTGTAGAAAGAGAGGATATCACTGAGAGTAAGATGCATCAGTGACGGAAATGCATGACTAGACGGGAGCACTTACTTGCCCGATCTGCACGTTATTCTCGAAGCATTCTCGATATATGCCTAGACCGCCTCGTCGATGTCTTCTCGCGACAGTGGCAGGCCAATCTGTCATCTTTTCATATCAACGGGCATCCTATAGACCATCAGATAGCAGTACAGCGCATACATGTTATTGAACTTGAACAAATCGGTCGCTCTGAAGGGTCGCAATATGCACTTGTGTCGAGTTGGACGAGCGGACGAGCGGACGAGCGGAGGCAGGAGACTAGCGTAACCGAGCTGAAAGAAACAGGAAGCGTCTATAGCTGGGCTCAGCGAAATAGGCGCGGAGGAGGGTGACCTGCCTGTTTCGTTGAGCCCGGTTATCCTAGACGCCAAAATGCCTGTTTCGTTGAGCTCGGTTATCCTAGACGCCAAAACGCCTGTTTCGTTGAGCCCGGTCACTTTAGGCACCTAATGTTCCGGTTAGATTGATACGTGTGTCGGGACGCCACAGCGTCGGCGGGTGCCGCCGAGTGCCGCCCTCGCCCGACGGTTTGATAGATGGTCTGGGCCTGACGCGGCTCGTTGCCGGGTTGCTGGGTTGCCGAGTAGCCGGGTTGCCGGTTGCCTTATCTGTGGGGCGACAGACGGGGCGGGCAGCGAGCGCACAGTGGGCGCACAGTGGGTGGGCAGTGGGCGGGCAGCAGGCGCACAGTGGGCGCACAGTGGGCGGGCAGTGGGCGGGCAGTGGGCGGGCAGCGGGCGGGCAGTGGGCGGGCAGCGGGCGCGGTGGGCGATGAGCTTTCCTCACTGAAAACATCCCGACTTTTCTCCACAGTGGTTTCAAGAGAAAAAGTCCAAGCTTTTCGTGGAACTAAATTTTAAGAAAATGTTCAGAAGCAAGAGATGTTCTCTAGACACAGAAAGGCGAGCTACTGTAGGAGAAAAAATGCGCAAAAACAGCC